ATTATACTGATCTCGAATTTCAAGAAAGTCTCTCCTAGTTTCTATTCTCAAGCATTTAATTTACTATGTTGATCGTTAAAATTCATTTTCCTTTACTTCCTTCTCTTTTCTTTTCTTTCCTTTTCTTTTTTTTTTTTTTTTTTTCCCCTCAAACTTCCTTGTGTAAAGAGAAAAATTATTCTACTATTGATTAACTTTAAACTAGCATGAAAAATAATGAAAATTATGACAATTATTAGTAAAAGAAAGAAAAAATACAAATTGAGAAATGATTTATTATTAATTATTATTATTATTAATTATTCTTGAAAAATGATTTCTTTATTATTTATTAATGATTTTTAAAATTGATTTCTTTCTTCTTGTTTTGTTTTGTTCTTTCTCATGTTGTTTATTCCATAAATTAGATATTGAAAATAGTTGGGTAGTAGATTATCGAAAAAGTTTATAATTAAATTTTCGAAGCATGTGTTTATTAAACAATAAAGTATAATAATAATAATACACGTTATGACGAACAAAGTCGAATTTTCGTAATAGAACGTATTAGCAAAATATCGTCTAGACTTAGAATGCAGTGTGTGTGTGTTCTATTTCTAGTAACATTTTCAATATTATTAGTCAGCTTTACACACTCTTACTAGTCTAACAACATTTGTGTCGCATTCCTTTGAAATATTTTACATGAAATTCTACGGTTTTTGTTTCTTCTCTTTTTTTTTTTAATTTGAAATAATTTGATAGATATAAATATGTAAATTAAAAAATATATATATATATATAAAAAGAAAAAGGAATAGTAATTGGAAAACATCACATTTAAATAATAATAATACGTAATAATACGTAAATTCGTGGTATATTATTAACGTTTTATTTTCTTTCTTWTTTTTTTTTTTTTTTTTTTTTTTTTTTTTTTTTTTTTTTTTTTTTTTTTTTTTTGCAAAAAGTTGCCAACTCATTTATGATAATAGTTCCCACGAGTAAATGAAATCGTGAGAATCGTGATTCACGTGTTTTCCCTTTTTTTTTCTTTTTTTTTTTTTTTATATACTTTTCTTTATTTATGAAAACTCTTTGGGTTCTCACTTTCATTCTCGTTGTTTCTTTTATTTTATTTTTTTTTTTTTTTTTTCTAATCAAATTGAATTGTCATAAGAATTTTGATTAAAATAATTCGATTAATTCTATTTCAATTATTTTATTTATTTTATTTTAATATCTTCATTTCATCGATGGGAAGTATCACATCATGAGATTCGATTTTCTAATTACTCGTTTAAGTTCTTCACGCGTTTCACGTAATTTCAAAACGATTTGCATAACGCGCGAAAACTTTCGGGTTAAATTGATAAATTGCACCAGACAGTTGTACGTATAGTTAAAATAATGGCGAGGTTCTTATTGTGTGATGAATAAATGTACTATATTGGTTTCGATCTATTTGTAAATCTTGCTTGTCTCGTCGTTCAAATCTCCTCAATTTTCTTTCATCTTTCAATCTTTCTCTTTCTCTCTCTCACTCTCTCTCTTTCTCAAACATACACACACATACTTTTCAACGAGACACAATCATTCGTTAATACCTTTTTCTCATTATTAAATTATTTAACGAAGAAAAAAAAATTAAAAAAAAAAAATAAAACATTTAATAATTATAATATGTAAAACCAAATTATCGGGAAATAAATTAGGCATTTAATTAATTTAAATGCACTTATTTGCATTTGAACGAACACCAAGGTTCCTCCTCACCCTCATTTACTTTTCTTTTATTTATTTATTTATTTTTTTTATTTAAAACATTTTCATATATTTTCTTCTAAATTTACAAATTATTCCATCTCTTTCTTWCTTTTTCTCTTTGCAATAATGTTGTTCAACGATTCGCGTTTAAACGCGTTCGGTTAACGGAACGCAGATTGCACTAAATTCCAGTTCAATTGCATTGCCTACTGCAACAAGCAGCAGCAGCAACAAGCAGGCAGCAACAGAGCGAAACGGTTACACACTCTCAACACGGACGTGTTACTGATTAGAGTGAGATAGAGAGAGCGAGAGAGAGAGAGAGAGAGAGAAAAAGAAAGAGATGGGGGTGTAGGGGGAAGGGAAAAAGTGGGGGAAAGTAGTCATACAGCTGACTTAGATGTTGCTTTTATCGCAACTTAACATACGAAATAAAGAAAATTTATTGAATTATTAAATAATGCAAAAATAACTAACATTCGAGAATTTGATTTATTTAATTTACTATATTATATTTAATAATTAATATATACTTTGTGTTTAAATAATATACATTTATAAAAATGAAGTTTTATAAATTTTACAAATTTTTTATATATATTTTATTTTGTCGATTCGAAAAACAACTAATAATATAAATATATTAATGAAAATATATTTTATTTTAAATATAAATATATATTATATATAATATATTAATTAATATAATATAAAAAATGCAGATATAAATTATTTTAAATATAAATTATTTTATTATATGGAACTATTATATTTATCTATATTACGTGTACGATGTATTTATTATACATATATTTATTTTTCTATGAAAAGACAAAATTATTTTTCTGCGAATTAAAACATTATAAAAAAGTAGAGAAACACCCGTTAGATTCGTATCTAAATTCTAGTAACGCTCTAAATAGTAACATCATTATTTTTATATATTATCGTCATTAGTATAAATGCTAACATTTGATTCTGAACTTGATAAGGTTGTACGTTTTCCTAGTTCTATCTATACATCTACATATAAATATATACACGAACAGATGATACATGTGTACAGATAAATAATATTTCTCTTATATTTTAGATGATGGTAGTCATTTTGTTATTATAAATTGAATCGAAACAAAATTGATATATTTTATTTATATAATATTAAAATGTTTTTATAGTTAAACTAAGATATTATATTAAAATAAATTAAATCAAATTTATTATTATATAATAAATTAATTATTAATAAAAATAAGTTGTATAACAAATTTTGGTTAATTTTAATAAGTTGTTCGTTAAGTACCATTGTCACGATTATCGTTAATAGTAATAGTAGTAGTAGTAGTACATACGTCATTCGTATAAACGTGTATAGTTTTGTAACCAGTTTTATTTTATTATACGCCTAGACAATTTTTTCTTTTATTTTTTTTTTGTCTCTTTATCTTTCTATTTCGTAAAGCTTTTACTTATACCAAGCATGAATCAAAGCAACCCGAAAAAAAAAAAAATAGAAAAAAATTTAAATCGAGTTCTATAATGTGTCCACCACACACACCAATGGGGATTTGTTGTAAAAAAATCTCCCTCCCTTCTTTCCTTCCTTCTTGCACTATAACAATTTTTACGATTTTATTATACAGCAATAAAAAAAAAATATATATATGTATATATATTCTTTCTGTGCTTTACACACCTTTCCGTACAATGAACGGTGTGTGCTAAACTCTCTAAAGGACGATCGAGAAAACGTGTTTGTGAACTTCTATAACGGACTATTCAAGAAACTCGTCTAACTTGTAACACACGCGTACCGTTTTTCTCGTCAAACTGGGCTCTTTATTACTACTTTCCAAGTAAAAATAACATACACCCTTCCTTAATTTATAACATTTACATTCAAATCTTTCTATCTCAATTTCATCTTTTTCTTTGAGATCAATCCTGTTATTTTGTAATCCTGATTTTGTTAAACTTAGAATTACCAATCCATTAACAGAAGAAAAACAACACATTTGTTCTTTTTATATAAATATTTTAATTAAATTAATAAAAATAAATTAATCTTGTCTTGTTAAACTTTATATTACATTTTTATGAACCATAACTTTCATGTATATTAACCCTTTGCACTTGAGGCCCTCAATTTTCGCAAACTCAGCAAACTCGAGACGATTTCAGACCCAAATTATGGAAACATTTTTACATGTACTTTAAAGTTCATTTATAAACAAACAAACGTATATACAAATAATCAAATTTCATCAATTGATTCATTTTTATATGAAAAACAAGAAAATTTGAGAAATATTATACACTGCAATTAATTTTTGTATGATATTTCATAAAGCAATACCAAAAGATGCACCCCAGGTGTTTATCAGGACACATATATCACAATAGTTACTTCCGGTCTATCTTCAGGTGTATTACGATCAGAATAAACCTTACAGTCCCTTTTCAATCCTTTAAGTATTATCTTAAAAGAAATATTTTCTAATAAGCAGATAGAGTTAACAAAAGACTTGAAATCAGCCATTGGGCGCCGTGTCGGCGCCTCTCGAGTTGCCACTTCAATCTGCCGGGTGCCGTATCGGCGCCGCTCGAGTACAAAGCTTTAATAATAAAGAAGAACCGTACAATATATTATCAATAATAATATATACAATAATTAAAATATCCTGAGAGATATTTTGTAATCCTGATTTTGTTAAACTTAGAATTACAAACTCAATAGCAAAAGAAACAAAACACATTTGTTCTTTTTATATAAATATTTTTATTTAAAAAAAAAAAAAATAATAAATTAAATTAATAAAATTAATCTTGTCTTTTTAAACTTTATATTACATTTTTATAAACTAAAATTTCACATGTATATTAATAGTAAAGAAGAACTGTATAATATATTGTATAGCTGGTGGTGGTATATATTTGTACAGAAGCAAGCATCTGTTATTAGCGATAAGGAAACACTTTTGTTCGATTGATTAGGATGTTCAGATACAGTTAACTTTGTTGTCTATAACATACTTAATACTTCGGATGATACATATACAGTTGAACTTTAAAATTGAATTTACTAATTACAGTATAGATATAAGTTTGATAAGTTTTGAGCTTCGAACTTTTGCAAATAATATTACAAATTCATTTGTACTTTTGAACAATGTATGAATCATTGTTTTTTTTTTTCTATACTTATGTGAAAGTATAATTATACTAATGAAAATAAAATATTTTAATGTTTACAGTGCAAGGACTGAGAATACCTGGGAGCGTTTGAGAAGTACATCCCCCGAGACCCCCCCAACCAAAATCACACGCCTAACCTCTCCCCTGTCCTTATCCTCTTCCGTACCCTTTCCCTCCGCTAACTTCGACAAGAAGACGTCTCATCACAAGAGTAGCAGCCGTGAACATCACACCATGGACAATATGGATAATAAGCCTGCCCTCAATGATGACCCTTCAGTCACCTTGACCATTCGCCTGATTATGCAGGGCAAGGTAAGTCTCGTTATTATTATTATTATTATTATTATTATTATTATTATTATTATTATTATTATTATTATTATTATTATGAATCAATTATTTATTATTTAACAAGTTTTATATATTAATTTTTTAAAATGATTTATAATAATTATGGTGCTACCCCACGTGTATCAATCATAATCATTTTTGATGAATATTTGGGTGTTGTCTTTTATTTTTGCTTAAGGTTATTAATTTATTTATAAAATTCATAATTTATATTAGTGTCCCATTATTATTATTATTATTATTAATAACTTATTTAATAAATTTTATATTAATTGTTTTAATTGATTATGAAAGTTATGGTGCTATCCCACGTTTATCAGTCATAATAATTTTTGATGAATATTTGGGTGTTGTTTTTTATTCTTTCTTGACTTAGGATTATTAATTTATTTATAAAATACATAAATTATATTGGTGTCCCGTTATTATTATCATTATCAATAAATAATTTAATAAATATTTTATTAATTTGGTAAAATGATAATAAAAATTATGGTGTCACCCCACCTGTATCAATCAGAATAATTTTTGATGAATATTTGGGTGTTGTTTTTTATTTTTTTTATTTTGCTTAGGATATTCTTTTTTTATTTATAAAGTACATAATTCATGTTAGTGTCTATTGTAATATTAAACAATTGTTAATATGTAATTTTGTATTAATTTATATTACTTTGTTTATGTGTGTGTGTACTTTGAAAATGATGGTTATTTACACGTGGCACGCAACGTAATCATTTTTAATCATTGCACTTTATACTCAAATATTTGATACTAAAAATTTAAATTAAGAGGAGAACAAAAAATATAAAGTATTTATTCCTTTTATCATCACTTTATACGCACCATTGATTCCTGCAAACAATTTTTATTGCTATCAAAAAAAAAAAAAAAAGAAACCAAATAAATTCTATACTAAAGTTCTTTTTTCCTTTTTTTTTTTT